GTGCTACCTTCACGTATCATATAAATGACTAACCATCTTTTGCAGCTAGTGGGAAAGCCAGTGCCTTTCCGGGTGTCGAAAGACTTGCAAAGCAAATCAATATTCGACGAAGCTATAATGCCCAACCTAAGTCCCTAAAAATGTAGGAGATCAACTCAGTTGCATTTTTATGACTTCTCCGGCCTTCGACACGAGGCGTCGACGTCTATGTCGGCATTGCCTTCGCCAAGCTCTTCGGCATGAGGGGCTCCGCTACCATCTTCGGTAACTTCACCAACATCGCCTCCGCCAAAACACCTTTTTCTTAGGAGGGCCTTCGCCAAGCAGCTTTGCTGGAGGACCTTCGGCAAAACCACGATAACTAGCCTCCGCCAACGCGACAGCATGAGGGGCTTCATCGACACCTTCATCGTGTACAACAAAATCACCTATGTCAAACAACTTTTGCCATATGGTTCAAGAACCTCCGTCGACACCTTCGACACCAAGTTCTACAACACCTTCGTCGACGTCTACATCGACAAACTTGGTTCTGAACACCTACTTCCACTACTACAACTACGTCGCCTACACCAAGCGTCACTAAGGACCTGGTCACGAGCACTAGCCAAGAGGGGCTAGGGAAGCACGCGGAGGACCAGCTTCTTCGGGGCATCAAGTTTTTTTTGCCTGGTGCTCGTGAGCAACGGTTTGAAGGCCTCACAACAACCTTCTACCTCGACTACTACGACTACGTCGACTACACCAATCGTGGCTAAAAACTCGGCCACAAACGCCAGCCAAGAGGGGCTAGGGGAGTGCACCGGAGGACCAACCACTTAGGAGCGTGTGGTCTTTTGTCTAGCGCTCGTGAGCGAGGATTTATTTGAAGACCTCCACCCAAAGAAGGATCGGAGACGAAGACCTCCGCCTGAAGAAAAGACGAAGACCTCCACCCAAAGAAGGATCGGAGATGAAGACCTCCGCCCGAAGAAAAGTCGAAGGCCTATGGAGGCCAGCACGCCAAGACGATACCAGACTCGGAGGTGAAGACCTCGAAAATGAACACCTGCGAAGGCCTTGGAAGCAAAGACCTATACATCATGGAGGCACTAGAGGCGAAGACCCCAGAGATGAAGACCTAGGAAGGCCTCGGAGGCGGAGACCCGCACGCCGAGGTGATACCAGAGGCGGAAGACCCGAAGGCGATTGAAGACCCCTGCATCGAGAAGACATGGAGACGAAGGCCATAGATGAAGAAATTTGGAAGATAAAGGCACCCAGAGCTGAAAGCCTAAGGAATTAGTGCATGTATAGGTTAGAGTCATGCGCTTGCTCTTTTCTCCATGCCCTTTTTTCCCACAGGGTTTTTGGGATGGAGTTTTTAGCGAGGCGTGCATGAACGGGTTGCGGAGGGCAATCCTCGCAACCAAGATCTAGGTTGTATAGTGCCTCTTCTTGTATGAGCATCTACTAGGTCATGTAGTACTGTCCATAACCTAGTAGCTGAGGGGCTACTGTTGGGGGAGCCCATACGAAGTATGGGCCAACTCCCCCTCGAAGATGCCTAATGAAGGAATAATGGCGGAGGCTGTCCCTAAAACAGCGGAGGCTCTATCCAAAACGGCAGAAGCTCTCCCCAAGACGGCGGAGGCCCAGCACAGGAACAATGGCAGAGGTTCTCCCCGAGATGGCGGAGGCTCTCCCCAAGACGGCGGAGGCCTAGCGCAAGGATAATGGCGGAGGACTAGTACAAGGATGACGATGAGTTTCTCCCTGGGACGGCGGAGGCTCCCCCCGGGACAGCGGATGCCTAGTGCAGTGATCGTGGCGAAGGTGTTCCCCGAGGCGTCGGAGGCCCATCAAGGTGCGGGACGATCAAGTCAGCAAGGCATACGTGAGGACAATTGATGGGCCTCCGGTGGGCGTCGGCTTAGGCCCAAGGTGAAGACATCGCGAGATGGTGTGATGAGAACACCCCTGAGGTTAGACACTAGGGCTGGAATATTCCTGGAATGTACCGTAGCAGTTGAGGGGCACTGTTGTAAACTCTATAAGTGGTAGTTGAGGCCTATAAATAGGGAACACTTGTAACTGTACACGGGGGCTGGTGAATGAATTAATGAAACTCTAGTTCTTGTGAGTCGGTATTTGATCCTCGTTCTCTTTCAGGCAGTGCCTCTGCCGAAGCTAGAGTCCGGAGCCTCGGCCAAAGTCGAAGGCCTCCGCCCCTTTCTTACTCCCACTTTGCCAAAGCCTACTGAATCCCTCATTTAGCGACCTTCTACCCGGAGCCTCTGACGGAGGATCTTGTCCGACAGGAGTGCGCTGCGTTCAGAAACCTCCACCCGTCTTAGGCGGAGGCCGGCCTCCGTCCATCTTAGGCGGAGGTCTTCGACCTTAGACGAAGGCCTCCGCCCATCTCTCGCTCTTGTTAGAAACCGATGTTTCAACAATCTTTATACTATTACGCTATGTATTTAAGCATTGTTTTTTGATATTACCCTTATTTGTAGCTATATGTGATATTTGACTTTCTGAGCTCACATATGGTGCGTATCTAGTTTTGCTGTTAAAACCGGGGGCTACATTTTTTGTGGCCATAGAAAGCCAATCATGTGCGCTCGCTACCTGACTTTATAAAATAGCAAGGCTGTTGTGGACCACTTCGTTTTTTTAGGAGCTTTCTATTTTACAAAATGGCTAAACAAAGGAATTTGGCTACTAATTTTAGCCAAATTATTGGAGTTGCTCACATGACCATATTACCCACATAAAAAAGACCATCATCAGTTCCGTTTTACCAAACCACCGTGGATAATAATACCTATCGGATTCTCTGCTGTTAAGTAAATCAACATATAGTAACACATGACTATATATTTAAACTATCTACGGGGCTCTTTGGATGCCAGCCTTTATTTGCAACATCGTAGGTGTGGCAGCCACAGATTGTGGCGTCTAAATTCACCGCCACATACTGTGGCGAGATTCCTAAAGCCTTAACTCTTGTGCAGCTGTGGCAACCTCGTATTACTCACCAACCAAGCAGGGGACAAAACTGTTGTGGCAGCCATATCTGTGGAGTGGCACATGAAGGCGAGGAACCAAACAGCCTCAAGAAACTTTGATCTAAAGGACACCTAAATTTGCATCTAATTACACAGGTAATCCTATTATGATAGATAATTTATGTAACCCAATTTTTATCTTATTATTTAAAAAATAAAATATCCTCTCAAATCTATATCTAAAAATTATCAACATCATCTATTAAAAAATTGTTTAAATAACCATAGAGCATGTATAGGTTTCTACGTTATCCATTCTATCAATATTAATGTATTAAGATTTGATTAAAGTAAGCATACATACCGTACCAACGTGCATGAGTGATAAATATATATGTTATGTTTCATCAAAAAAATTTCCTTAACAACTCATATACTAATGATACTAACAAAGTAGCAAATTGTTTAAAACCATATTAGTAACTATGACATATAATTTATACAGGTTGTTACTTTAGATATGTTTATATATATTTTAACTAAATGTTTGACGTGTCTATATTGATAGTATAACTATAACTGTATATATAATTCCTTGATAGGAAAATTCAATCATCTTGAGAAGTATAGGACCAGAGACCACTGGCGACTATATTTTTCGCTCCTTTAAGATTACTTTAGAGTAAAAGTCGGTTTGTTATATGGTTTAAGTATTAAATTCTCTTTAGGTTAACACTGCTATTCCCATTGGTGATATCACCCCAAGCTCTATCATCACTTATCTTAAATGACATGGTGCAAGTTTTAAATGATTACTTATGCTATTATAGTATTTAAGAACATACTATCTAAAATCCTTATTTTTAAAAAGTGCAAAAAGGAGAGTTAATAAAATATACAATAAACATAGGTGTTTCAACTAGACGAAAAAAATCTATGGCAGTCAATAAAAATAAAATTCAAAAAATCAAAATTTAGATTCATGACTTCATGACATATGTGATGCACCAAGGGGTGCCATAGTTAATGGCAAAATTTCAAACTAATTACATATTTAAAATATACATAGGTGATCTACAAAATATAAATATAAATATGGATGAAAAACATAGAAATCAGTCCCTTGCAAAAAAGTAACTAAATAAGTTTATGATAACTGGATATAGACTATGAAGTATCTATTTTGTTTATTTTGTAGAAAATAAACAAAAAGAAGAATATACAATTTAGTATAATAATTCTTTATTAGTCAGTATTAAACAATATATCTCTTAAAATTTTAGCCCGTGTGATAGCATGGGTTGGTGGAATAGTATTTGTAAATTCAAATAGAGTATATTGTAGTTAATTGTATGCTTATTTTTTTGTCCTATTTTGTTATTAATTTATACTGATTTTTCTGTTAATTGTTTCTCTAGTTATTCATTTTTTACAAACATTGCTTGAATGATAAGATCTTGTGGAAAGAAAAAAAATAATTATCCCATTTGTAGTATGTTTGCAGTTACCTGTTGTCTCTGTATCTAGGCTATCCCCAAGAAGCCGGCTTCGTAAGATTTGGTTGTGGCGGCAACTCATCAATTGGCACAAGTGGTCAGGACTCAGGACCTTTTTTTTAGCTAAGCACGTGCATGGATGACGTTAAATCCTACGGATTGAGGGTTATTATTAGTGTGTATGTATTTTGCAGTTTGCACAAAACTTTAGGCTATGTGCTCCAGGCACGCAGTGAAGCAGATGTCGGTAGGGTTTTTTAGATTCTTGTGTCTCCCCGATGTAATATATGATCTTCAAATGCAATAAAAACTTCCATTATTGAAAACAAATAACATATACAACTCAAGCAATAGCATATTGCTATCCTTATTACAAATAGAACTGACGTATGTAGATAATATCGAATTCACCAAAGCATAGTACCTAATAAATTAAACGAAGCAAGAAAGTGTGCTCATGAGGGGATATCTTTATTGCTGTCAGGATCGAAACACTTTCTGGTAATGAGTGACATTATTTCTGCAATTTCCATCCAAGATGTGACGTCTTGATTTCATGAATGTTGCTGGCTGTTTCTTTCATATTGGCTCGTTCGCTTGGTAATGAATGTGCACAGCAAAGTGCAGCTTGCAGCAATGACGCCAAGCATTGGTGTACTACATTTTCTGGTACCATCTTATTCTGTGCTAGGTCCTTGCACTCTTCTTGGAGTTGAGGATCAATGACGTTATAGATTTGATGTGGAAAATTGCGCTCCACAAAGTTGACAAGGTTGAGTCCGTCCATGAACATAGGATCTGTTGGCCTTTTGCCTGTCATCATCTCTAGAAGTACTATCCCGAAACTGTAAGAATCTCCGGAAATTGATGCATGACCACCTTGAGCATACTCTGGAGAGAGACAAGTACGTGCTTAGAGTTTAGTCGTGGTGACAATAAAATGGGTATGTTAGATATGGGCAAACTTAATAATTAACTAACAAAGGAATACCTGGAGCAATGTAGCCTATGGTCCCCTTCACACCGATGGAACTAATTGAACCTGGTGGTATCAAGCGAGAATCAGCATAAAACCTTGCGATGCCGAAGTCTCCTAAAAGCGCATTCATGTCTTCATCCAAAAGAACGTTGCTGGGCTTCAAATCGCAATGAACAGTGGGCCTTCCGCAATCGTGGTGTAAATAGTCCAGTGCATCAGCAATGTTAGCAGCCATGCTTATTGTTTGAGTTAGGCCTAGACGCTTTGCAGGTTTTCCATCCCCTTTCTGGTGTATCCACGAGTCTAGGTTGCTGTTAGGCATGAATTCGTAAACTAAAGCTTTAAAAACATTAACTATATTCAGCCTGTTCGCTGGTTGGTTTCTGGGCTGATAAGCCCGGCTAGTGCTGGTTTGTTGTGAGAGGAAATCACTGTACCATGGCTGATAAGCCCTGGCTGAAACCAACAAGCGAACAGGGTCATTGTCCACTGTCGAGCATGCAGTTATGATGGGAAGAAGATTTCGATGTTGAATGCTTCTCAATGCTTCACTTTCTGCCATGAAGCTTCTCTCGGCACCTCGCATCTCGAGGTTGAAAACCTTCACTGCCACTTGAAATTTTGATTCTTTTATGGTCCCTCTATACACTGTACCATAGCTTCCTTTCCCTACAAGGTTGGATTCTGAAAAACTATTCGTGGCTTGTGCCAGATCATTGTAAGAAACTTTGAGGAAATCGTAGCCACCTAAAGAGGTCGATTCTAAATTTTTTCTTCTTGGCGACTTCTTTTCAAGGAGTAAAAAGCATATCAACACTAACAGCGACATGAAGCCAAACACCGGGATCAATATTTTAATCAAGTAATATTTGCTGCTGTTTTTCTGAGAACCTGTTGGGCAGGGGGGCAGACGAAGATCGCCTACTCCACCACACAGGCCCTGATTTTCTTCAAGTAAAATGGCAGTGGCATTTTTGAAAACCCCATTTGCTGGTATTTGCCCATGGAGATGATTGTACGAAAGATCCAGTTCGTCAAGCAATGATAAATCACCTAGATTTGTTGGGATGGTGCCTGATAAACTGTTATGTGAAAGATTCAGCACGCTCAAACTGCTGAAGTTACCAAAATATGCTGGAATGCTCCCTGTCAGCATGTTTTGGTCCATCTGGATGTCAGCTAAGGCTAGACATTGGCCGTAACTATCAGGAATTTCTCCACTAAGCATATTTGCTGAGAGATGTATGTTGAAGAGTTGCTTAAGGTTACCAACCTATAGAGGAATGTTGCCTTGAAGATTATTGTCACTTAAGTCTAACTTTTGAAATCTTTGAAGATTTCCTAAGTTCTGAGGTATGGGGCCGTCAAACTTGTTATTGTCCAAAAAAAGCTCCTGCAAACCTTTAAGATTGCCAATGACGTCAATGTTGCCTTGAAGATTATTGTCACTTAAGTCTAACTTTTGAAGTCTTTGAAGATTTCCTAAGTTCTGAGGTAGGGGGCCGTCAAACTTGTTGTCCAAAAGAAGCTTCCCGAAGGAGCTAGGGATCAGACCAGTGAAGTTGTTAGACTGTAGATATATGTGTTGTAGCATTGAAGCATTACCTAAGGAATCTGGTATGTGACCTTCCAGCCAATTCTGGCCCAAGTATATATAGCCTTTCTAAATTGGAGAGACGATCACCCATATTGCTTGGTAGGCTCCCTCTTAGTTGATTTCTATCCAAATCTATTCCTCGAAGTAAGGACAAATTAAATAGGCTTTCAGGGATAGTACCTGATAGGTTATTTCGCCCAAGGCCCAGCATCGAAATATTTGAAAAGTGGCCAAGTTCATCAGGAATTGTTCCTTCAATTTGATTTACTTGAAGATAAAACTCTTCTATATGGGTGATGTTACCAAGGGTTGGCGGGATGGTCCCAGTAAGATTATTGTTATTAAGGGCAAAATAGACTAGATTCTTAAGGAGACCTATTTCCCGAGGAATTGCACCATTGAGTAAGTTATGGTAGAGACGCAACTCCTTGAGGTTGGAACAATTTGTGAGCGTGTCTGGAATAACCCCATCCAATGAGTTGTAGCTCAGATTAAGGATTTGCATCTTCTGGAGATTGTTGAGATGTGGTATTTGGCCAGAGAACTGATTGGTAGACAGGTCTAGTGTATGAAGGAATGTTAGGTTTCCAACAGATGGGGAAATCGGGCCTGACAGGCCTTGGTTGTAAAGTTTGAGTGCAGTTACTCGCCCGTGGTTCTGGTTACATGTGACACCACTCCAGTTGCAGTAGTGGATGCTAGTGTTCCACGAGCTCAAGGATCCTAAAGGATCTGTGGTGACTGCCTTGAAATCAATCAAGGCGAGCATGTCCGTGCTATTCTCAGGGACGGTGGAGCAACAGACATTCCCTACACCATGAGACAGCAGACACAATGCTAGCAGTAGCATCAGCATGGTGAGTTTCACTTTCACCTGCCGGTCCTCGGCCATTAGTGGCCTCGTTACCTGCAAAATACGTGGTATAAATATTGTGGTGTACTACTATATGTTTACCGGCGAAGCTAGCTACTTTATGCCAGCACATGCTGCTCTGCCCTCTTGCCATGCATGTACAATATTATGGAAATGGAAGTAAGGAACTGCACTCGACCAGTAAAGTATATAATGTTAGCAATCCAAATAAGCACAAGGTTTAACTTTGTTTTTTTGTTTTTGTTTTGATGAAACTGGAGGGGTGTGAACCCCTACAGGATTTTATTTAAAGCAAGAAGGAACAAGTTACAGAGTACTAGCAAAATTAAGAAACGAAAAAAGAAAGGAAGAAAATGAGCCCAATCAAAGATATTAACTTTGTCAATGTTCGAATTGCGCTGCAAGCAATTGATGCATGACGAGTAACAGCAGAGCCCAGACCAAAATAATTGCTGAAGTAGTACTCGAAGCCTAGAACTGAGCCCAGACCTCTGCTTGGCCCAAGGCCGAAGCGTCTTTTCTTGTGTGGCTTTGCCGGGTGGTGTAACGTATGAGCTGTTATGAGCCGTGAGCTTTGGTTTAGATGCTCAGCTGCCTGCCCAGGGGTTTAAAAACAGTTTTATAGCTGCATACATCCACACACTTCCGTCATCATCACGCCTCATCTCGGCTTTAGCTTGACCGCCGTTGCAGCGAAGACCCGGAGTCCGTCAAACTCGTCAACTACCTCTACTTTTCAGCTTCCATCCCGTCTCTCAGCGTCGCCGTCGCTGTTTGAGATGGACATGATTGTTGCGACATGTCCAGCCTCGCATCCCAGAATAATTTTCAGCTGAACCAGAAAGAGATATTCCGGGCTAATGCGCGACCTGTCTCCTGCGGGTTTCCATGACGAAGTTCAGTTTTTTTTGAGGGAACAGGAGGGACTCGGAAGTCCCTACTGCAAATTTATTAGAGTAACTAAGAAGGTTAATAAAGAAACAAGAGTTTTACAAGAGGTTATAGGGAAGACCGCTGGCAGAGAGAAAGTCAGGAAACAAAGAAAATTAAGACAAATACAGAGAGTGCTCTAGCCATAATTCAATTGAAGAAAAATATTTCTTTTTAGCCCTCCATAGGAGCAAGCCAAAATTGTGCTGGAAAACATCTGAAGCCCTTTGAACGGTAACAGGGAGTCCTCTGAAAATGACATCATTCCTAATAGTCCAGATACTCCAACTCATAATGATGATAATTTTCATATAAGAACTGACATTTAGCTGCATTTTGAAACTCTCAAAGATCTGTAAAGGGTCTAAAGCTAAATTAACTATGATGCCAACAAGATTCGAGCAGGCTTTAGCCATTTCACATTAAAAAAATGTTGAACAGTTTCCTCAGAATTCGAAGAACAAAGCACACAATTGTAAGAAGGAAGGTGCATGTGCTTCCTCCTCAAAATGTTATAGGTACTCAGTCTGTCATTAATGAGCAACCAGAAGAAGTCCTTGTGCTTATGCTGGCAAGAGGATTTCCAGATCCATTTATAAATTGGGTGTGACCAACTTCTTCCACGTAGCTGACAGTATGCCTTTTTGGAGGTGAAAATGGAGCTGCCCCAAATATACATCCAAGTGTCAACACCATTAGACAGCTGAAGGTTTTACAGGATGATTTCAAACTGCTGAAATTGTGCAAAGGCCTCTATTGAAAGAGGAAGGCTAAACAGACTGGAGGTGTTAGTAACTGAGGCTGCACATTGGAGAGAAAGTAGAGGCTTCTTGGCAAAAGAGAACAATTCAACAAAGGTTAATCTTAGAGGTTGACCCATCCAGCAATCATTCCAGAGAAGGCAAGAAGCACTATCTGCCACTGAAACTGAGGCCATGCATTTGAACTTACCTAACAATTTCAAGACATTTTTCCACCAGAATGACCCTTTCTTGACATGGTTAGGGAGCCTACCATTACTATAATATTTCTCCTAGATAAGATGCACCCAGGGGATGTCTGCTCTGTTGTAAAACTTGTGAAAGTTTTTTAGAGTAGGGCCTCATTTTGGGTTTTGAGGTCCTGCACCCCAAGTCCACCTTCTTCTTTTGACTTGGTCACCATTGGCCAAGCAGCCTTGGCATTGATTATGTTGTTTTCTTCAGACCCTCTCCAAAGACAGTGCTTTCTATATTTGTCAATTTGCTCCCTGACAGTGGAATGAAGATGGAAAGTGCTCATGAAGAACATAGGAAGGGATGTGAAGACACAATTAGTCATCTGGAGCTTCCCAGCTTGAGAGAGAAAAAGGGAGGTGCTGACCAGCCTCCTTTCACATCTAGTCACTAAAGACAAGAAGTCCTCAACTCTTGGTTTAGTAGTACCCAATGGGAGCCCCAAGTAGGTGAAAGGCAGACTACCAGTGGAGCAGCCAAAGGTGGCAGCAAGATGTTGAAGCCTTTCCTCCGAGA